AAATTAAACAATAAATATAGTATGTATTTCCATTTAAAAACTAAAATATGGTATACCTGTGATGACTAACTAACACAGCCACCATTACTTTTGTAAATGGTTCACACTCGATGGTTTCCAGGTAATGATGGATTACCTGGATTACCTACATTATGAGATGAGAGTCGAGGAAAACTATTATTAACAGTGCCGCTTGGATGAGTGAAGTGACCAAATAGAGCTTCAAGGTGACTCATATGTGACACTGGATATGAATTTGAGTGGGTAACCGAATGAGCAGGAATATTATTAGCTGTGTATCCCATCCCAATTTGATTATTAGTAGTGAATGCTGGGAAACCCACTGGTCCAGGCATCATGCCATTACCTCCGTACACACTAGCGTGAGTGTTTGAATGGCTAGCCGTGTGAGCAGCTGCATAATTCCCTAGATGGCTAGAATGAAGATTTGGGTAACCAGCAGTGTGTGGAATGGAAGCAGCCGGATAGCTCTGCATGACATTTCTGCTGTCTATGCCAGCAAACTGAACTCCGCCAGTCCAATCCAAAAATCTAGTGGGCTGCCTATCAACTGGCATAACCTGCCTACCCAATTCATGTCGGACTAGAGACTGACGGTCAAAGTACTGATCAGTTCTTCCAGCATAGTTTTCCATATTAAATTGAGCAAAGCGTCTATCATTTGGATTAACCTGATTTCCTTGTCTAAAACTATTTTCAACATAGGGGCTTGTGCTGAAATTACTCTGAGGGGTCACATTCTTTTCATTAGCTATATGCATTTGATTAAACTGGGTAGCTGAGCGATTGCTCACATTACTTGAATTTCCATGGGTCTGAGTGCCATCAGTTGTGGTCTTAGTTTCTTTGGGAAGAGATTGTAATGCAGAAGTGGGTTTTACATGTATTATTGGGGTTGACTTAATAACACTAGATATTTGGGTGGGAGTTATATGAGAGATAGTGACGACATTTGTTTGAACATTCTGAGGTTGAGTCTGAGTAATAGTGATAGAATGCTCTATAACCTGCTTATTGTTATTTTCCTGCCTGATAGCACAGCCTTCAGTTGGCGATGTTTTAGGTTCGTTCAATGAAATATGGCCCTCACTTGAAGCGCTACTGGCTTGAGAAAATTTCACTGTACCTGACAAAACATTGATACCTTCAACTGCAGCTGAAGGTTGGCTACCATTTTTATCTTCCTGAGGCGTTTCTACTTCTGTGGACTGTTCAGGATTTTCAGTTTGGCTTCCAGATCCTTTACAATTATTTGAACGTCTATGTTTAACAAGATTTCCAGAGCAAGAAAACCGCATTCCACAGGATTTGCATGGAAAAGGCTTAATACCTGTATGTACAGCACTGTGACCCAACAAGCTTTCTCGATAAGCAAAAGCTCGACCACATACTTCACAAATGAAAGGTTTCTCCCCTGTGTGTTTTCTCTCATGCCTTTTCATTTCTCCTTTCTGATGAAAAGATTTACCACAAAATCTGTGTAAACAGAAATAAAAATAGTTGTAATTGATATTCAAAAGGATAGAAAATATATCAGAAAAGAACTAATACTTACTTGCACAAGAAGCTCTTAACTCCAGTATGAAGCAATTGGTGAGCTTTAAGTGAACCTTTGAATGAAAACGATTTTCCACATGTTTCACAGGGGAAGAGCAAGTTGGTCCCACATTTACTTGCAACATGATTCTACAGGGGAAAAAAACAATCATACAAAATTAGAATGATAAGATTTTTGCTTTGAAATGACTTGATTTAAACAAATTTACCTGGAAAGCAGTTTTTGTGTGAAGCTTCCTACCACATGTTTCACACGTGAAAATTGTAACTTTTTTCTCCTCAGCTCCATGCATATGTTTCATGTGTGCTTTAAGACATGTGTTATCTGACAACTGCTTTTTACAAATTTCACATTCAACTGGAGCATGTTCCCAATGAGTTTTTCGTTGATGTCTACGAAGTGCATTCTTGTCATCAAAACGTTCCCTAAAACAAGATGGTTTACTATTACATTTACAGATAATGATAAAGAAGCACACAAAGCATTCAGCCATTGTCTCATTGAACAAGAAAAGTAAATACTGAATGAGAAAGAGAGTAAATATCTACTTACTCGCATTTATTACACTTCATTTTACTAGTACCATCATGCAGTTTTTCATGATTGATGAGGCTGAGCTCATTAGTGTATGGTTTGTCACAGAAACGACATTTCATCATACGACGCATCACTTCCTCAACACCTTCACCATCATGAACTCTGCGTAAGTGCCTAATAAGATGTGACCGATATTGCAGTGCACGACCACACATTTTGCAAACATATCTTAGCTCTTTTTTAGAATCAGAAATATCTCCAGCTTCAGAATCAGGTTTTTCGGTAGGACTGTTGCTATTTTCATAAATTGTGTTGTTCTCACAAAATTTCCTACTGAAATATAGATCTGTGCTTTGATCATCATCTTGGAAATCATATGGTTCTGCTTTTATAACTACTTGTTCTTCCTTTTCGTCTTCCCAAGATTTAGCTGTTTGAGAAGTATCCGACTGAGGCTGAGAGTTTCCATTAGGAAACTCATTATTTCCAGTTCTTTGAATTTCAGCCTGTGAATCGATCTGAACTTGGTTTTGTACACTTTGAGGAGAGTCTTCAACATCTTTGGGTTCTGGCTTTACGTCCAGAACATACTCATCATCCTCATCATCTAGGGTCTCATTGTAGCGTTTCAATGATGCCTTAGTAATAGACCTGCGGACAGGTTTTATAACTGTCTTCAATTCAGGCACTGTTGTCTCCATATCCTCAACTGCTTGAGCTAAAGCAGCAGCTGCATCTTGAGCCTTTTGACCAATAATTCCTTTTGCTCTCGGTCGATTTACCTTTGGCACTGGTATTGCGGGTAGGAAAAACTGTACTTGTAATTTCTTCTTTCTCCCTCTTCTTCCTGAGGGCTTCTTTTTAATAACTTTTGGGGCGCTTTCATCTCTATTCCAGTCTGGATCATAATCTGAATCATCATCACTGCTTATATCCTTTCTTTTCAATGACTTCTTTTTAACGCTGCGAGAAGAATTTTGAGCCACTCCCCAACTTACATCATTTTCTGAATCGTCACTGAGAGGGCCTCTTTTACGTTTTCCTCTTTTTTTGTTATTGCTGGAAGAACCCTTGGTCTTCCTCCAATCTGGATCTACATCCGAGTCATCATCACTGATTTGATTTTTCTTACGAGTTTTGCGTTTAGAAGTGCCAGATAAATTTTCAGGACGTTCCCACTCAGCATCACCTGAACCTTCATCACTCTCAGAAAGGCTTTGAGGACTATAACTAAAGTCTCCAGATTCGTCATGATCACTTTCCTCACTTGATAAAGAATATCGAGTGCTATTGGCAGAAGACCTACGAGTAGATCGCAATGATTTTCGCTTTGACTTTTTACCCTTTCGAGCACCAACAGACTCATCTGAAGCATAAGGTTCATATTCATCTTCCTCCTCCTCCTCTCCCCCATCCTCATCAGAATGCTCGGATTCGTACACGGCAGGGGGTGAGGGTGTTGGAGGGACTTGAAATGAAGGAGTAGGAGGTGTTGGAGGGTTCGAATCTGAATAGGATGGTGAGGCTAGTCTTTCATAGACTTCCTCTTTTTCTTGTTTGATAGTAATACGTAGAGGTGCCACAGGATCACTGAAACGTTTTGGATGATTCATTATACTTTACACTGTTTAACTAGAGAAAATAAAATAAGAACCACTTGCTTCTACATGCATTTGATTGTACACATACCTTACAGAGACAGAGTATCCATAATTCTCACTGCCTTCCTCCTCTCCTTCATCATTTGAGGCATCATCTATAGTGTACACTTCATACACAGAGTTATTGTGAACGTTTCTGACATGACAAGATAGGCAAATTTCATTTGGACACATTTGATCACATGTGCTGCATGATACTTGACTTCCTAGGTTTTTCTTATGTGCTTTTAGAGCTTTGTAGTTTTTAACAACTTCCCTGTAAAAATGTCAATTATTTAATAATATGTACTTTCAGAAAATCTTCTAATTCAAAAGTGCTGAATAGCAGTTTCCACTTACAAACAAAGGTTACATTTCATAGCAGCTGTGCCATAAGGGTGACATCGTTCATGCCTAATTAGACTTTTCCTTGAAGAGCATTTTTTTGAGCAATATTGGCACCTCAATTTCTCAGGTTTACTGGAACTAGACTCAGACCTGAAATTCAATTATTTCATTAAATGACTTGGAAGAAAAGTAATTTTTGTCATTGTGGACACTTTGAAGCCATCACCTTACCTGCTATCTTCACCAGCGGACTGTTCTTCAACTGCAGACGACCCCGTTGCATGTTGAATATTTGTTTCCAGTTCCAACCTAAAAGTAAAGCTTGAATGAAACACGTTGTTATAAAGATTGATAATAACAATTTCCATAATAAAAAACAAACCTTTCAACACAGGTTTCAGCCTCTGCATTGTCTGCCAGCTCTGTTGTTTTGTTAGTTGAAATTGTTTCCTCTTCATGAGGAATACTGTTCAAAATACATATGGAAGTTTAGCACATAAAGCTTCACCAAATTACCAAAGAAAACTAAAGTTGTATGAATACTCCACCTATTGTTTTCAGATGGATCTTCACAGACAGATTCACTGTGCTCTGCAATTTCACCACATTTTTCTTTCAAGTCACTAGACAAGCAAAACCAGAAAAGTCAAATATAAATTCTTTAAAACAACAAACAAAACAAACAAAGGTTTATTTTATTGAACCACACAAGATACTATACCTTAATTCTAATGATTCTCTTTGACCAGAAGCTGATAAACTTTCACTAACAAACCTGACAAAGAAA